ACTGATTAGTTATTCATTCACCAAACTCTAAGTGTCTACTGTGTGTTCTGTCCCTTTACTAGGTGCTATGAGAAATACAAAGAAGAATAAGGCCTGCTCCTTATTCTCAAAGACCTTATGACAGTAAGAACTAATGATAGTAATAGAACTAATTATCACTTGGGATCGTTTATCAGGAAAACAAAGCAAAACAAACAAACTTCCTAACAGTTAGAACTGCCTTGGAAGGTAATAGGTCACCCTCATTGGAGGTATTTGAGCAGAGGCTGGCTGACCACTTGTCAAGTATACAGGGATTCTTTTGAAGTATACAGTTGGATTAGATGACCAGTGAGGTCATTTTCAGCTCTAAAAGTCTGTGATTCTATGATTCCATGAAGGCCCTAAGAATGTGAGCTACGAGAAAGTTTCCATAGGAGAGAAAGTTCCAGCACTACCTTCGGAATTATCATGTCAGTGATAAGTCCCTGGGTGGTAACCACCGAGGATGGGTTGGAATGATAGGCACCTAGGGCATGGGATGAGGGTGGGGAAGGGGAGAAGGGGCCATCAAGATCCTCTTGCTGCTCCCTCAGAATTCCCCACTATGGAATCCAACCTTAAAGAACCCGGGGTACACTTTCTTTTATGAGGAGTATTGTGTCAGAAAATCCTGAATTCATGATCACTCCAGCCATGCACCAAAATTACCCCCGAATTTCTCAAGACTCTTTTATTGCCCCACCCCCAATTAAAATCCTCAGTCCTACACAACACAGCTCTTACCTGTCAGTAAAAAAAAAAAAATTAACTAATTCACAGTATTCTGTAAATAATTAATAATGCCTCAACGTATTACCCCTCCCATTCCTATGGCATTTGCATTTTCAAAGAGGAATTTGGGGAAAGCTGTTCATAACTCAAAGGAATGAATTTTTAATGGTAGAATTTCAGACACTGTAGCACCTAGGTGGAACAGGTTAATTCTCTGTGACAAGGAAACCTTCTGAACATCTTCAAATCATGCCACACAGGCTGCCAGTGTTTTTAAGCCTGTTGGTGCCTGATTGGGTAGGGAATCATAGAATCATGCTGGCTAGTTGTTTAAAATTATAAGAATAACTGAATTTTAGAGCTAGAAAATACTTCAGAAGTCATTTACTCCTACTTGTTCCAAACAGAAATTCCCTCTATATACTCGGATTCCACATGAAGAGCTTCAGTCTTGAGAAATTCATTATTTACCAAAACAGCTCATGCTACCTTTAGATAGCTCTAATTGTCAGAATTTCTTTTTTCTTTACATCGAGCTAAAAATCTACTTCATTGTTCATGGTTCTACCCTCTTGGCCCACACACAGTAAGTCTACTCTGTCTTCTTTAATATCCTTTCAAATAAAGATGGCTATCATATTCCATGAGTCTTCTGTTCTATAGGCTAAAATGTCCCCAGCTCCTTTACAGGATCCTAGTATAGCAAGATTTTAATTCCCCTCACTTTCTTGGTCCCCCTCCTGTAGATGCATGTCAATTTGTCAATGTCCTTGCTAAAACATGGTGCTTAAAACTGAAACCAGCACCCCAGATTTGGCCTGATCAGGACAAAACACCTTAAGACTCTTGCTTTCCTTCCTCAGGATGCCATGCCTCTTAATGTAGCCTGAGATCACATGAACCTTACTGGTTGCCAGTGTTGACTCACTGGTCTAACAGTCCTCTAAAATCCCCAGCTCTTTTTAACAGGAACTTGCTGTGTAACCACATTGCCCACTTCCTGTCTTTGGGAAGCTAATTTTTTTAACCCACAGCTTAGAAAACTCCTCATTCTTACTGTCTCCAGAGTTCTCTATTGGCAGCAAAAGCAAAATCTGTTTGTGCATTTCCTACTCATTATTGTTCCATTGAGGAAATTGAGGAGCATGTTCCATTGAGGAAGAACTTTGCACATTTCCTATTTCCTCTTTTATGGATGTTTCTCATAATTTTTAAAGTCCTTCAAAGGCTCCAGACATTTTGATGGGACAACTTACCCACTTCCCTTTTTCGTTCCAAGTGCCTTTTTAAATTATTCTTTTAGCATATAACTTTTTTCTCTCTCATTGACTTTCATTGGGGAGTTATAGACAGTGGGCTTCATTTTTTTCAGTGTCATCACGATCATTATTCTTCAATGGCAAAAATGAAGTTTACCTTTTGGTGTGGTTTCTCTCACGAGGTAAAAGTACTTTTCAAACCCTGACTAGAACTAAATGATGACATTTCTTCATTTTGAAGTTTGAAAATATTTATAATTCTTTATTTTTTACAGTTGATCTGGTATATCCTGGAAAGGCCCATTTAGCACATAGTCACATTCTATACATACATGTTATGATTTGAGGGATGACAGGAAACCCCATTTACTCAGCCCCTAAATATCTTTCCAGTCCTTCTGTCATTACAACTGAAATTCTGTCATAGGAGATGCAGTCCTTTTTTAAAACTTCTCTCTCCAAGAATGAAATTAAAATACAAATGCTAATCTTTAACAGCATTTAGTTGTTGGGCTTGTGAGTGGGGAAAGGAAGGGTCAGAATAATAACCATTGTGGTAAATAAATAGCTAACTTGTTACCCATTGAACTTGTGGCTTAAAATAACAAAACCCATTAGGCACTAACATTGAATAGGACAATTACTAATTTTTTAAACAACAATTTGCTTTTAAAAACCTAACTCCGGGGCAGCTAGGTGGTACAGTGTATAAAGCACCGACCCTGAAGTCAGGAGGACCTGAGTTCAAATCCAGCCTCAGACCAAACACGTGACACTTACTAGCTGTGTGACCCTGGGCAAGTCACTTAAGCCCAATTGCCTAAAAAATAAATTAAAAATAAAAACCTACCTCCACTGAAGCTATTGGCACTATGAGATTTTTCCCAAGGAAAAGAAAGTTTTATCTTCAAACCTGGATCCAAAAAAGGAAATTTATACTTCCCCAACATGACTATACTTCTGAGCTTTGAAGGAAGGAATTGTTCCAAGCAAGGCTTAACACCTTTCTCTGAGTCTAAATTAATCAACATAAAAAAGTTAAGATTAGAAAAAGCTGGTAAGGGCCTTAGACATCATCTAGTCCAGCCACCTCATTTTATAGATGAAGAAACTGAGGTCCAGAAAGTGAAAATGACTTGCCCACTAACACATAACTAAAAGAGGGTAAGGACCCTCTTTTTTTAAATTTCTTGTCCAGTGCCCTTCCACTACACTCCAGTCAACTGCCCAGTGATGAATGAGTAACTTTTAAAACTTCTATGACACAGTATTTACATTGTGCATATAAACCAGCAATTTACATGTAATTTGCTGCCCCCTTATTTTATTAATGAATAAGTGCTATGCAAATGTAAGTGAACTAAGAGTTTTAAACAGCTCATATAATGTATGGAACCAATTAAAATTCCAATTTATTTTTTAATGTAAATGTCAACATAAATCAGGTCTTAGCAATTTTTGCACAACCTGTTGGGTCAGCTGGCTTAAAATGAGTCTATAAGTAGGTTTCGCTCATTGTTTATCATTCATTAATTATGTTTATGGAAGGTGATGATCACTTTTTTAAAATTGTCTTTCTGAGCAGTCATTCCCTATGGAACACCCAATGCAGCTGATAGCAAAGTCCAGTGAGCACTATAAGTCAAAAAAACTCAAAAGTTGTCATCCACCTCCATCCACAAACTGCAAAAACATGAATAAACACTTCAGGTCACTTTTTATAAATCCATTCCAGAATCCTACATGAAATAAAACAAGCACTGATAAAGCATGTACTATGTGTTAGGCTCCAAAAAAGTCCACAGCCTTAAGTTTACATTCTAATGGGGGTGACAGCACACATATATACAGGTCTTTACAAAACACACAAATAACACACACACAAGGTAACCTTAGGACACACTAGCTACTAGGAGAGCAGGAAAAACTACACGGAGAAGGTAGTGGCACATGAGTCTTAAAAAAGAAAACCAGGAAGTCTAAGAGTCTAAGAGGTAAAGGGAAAGTACATTCATTCCAGGCATGGTGGGGGGCAGAACAAGAGAAAGAGATCCTTGCGTAAAAAACACCAAGGCAGTTTGGCTCAATAACATGGTTTGTGGAGAATAATGACTATAAAGGCTGGAAAGGCAAAATGGGACCAGGTTGTAAAGAGGTTTAAGTGCCAGTAGCTTGGGTTTGACAACAAACAAAAAGAGACTCTCAAATAATGTCTTGAAAGACCTGGTAATTTTTTTCTTAGAGAATTAAATTTCCTTGGGGCTATGTATATAATTTCATATTTTCTAGGTCTTAAATCATGCCATCTGTTGTTGGATTCACTCCTCTTTCTTTAATTTTGACTTTTTTTTTTTAGGCAATTGGGGTTAAGTGCCTTGCCCAGGGTCACACAGCTAGTAAGTGTCAAGAGTTTGCTCTGAGGCCACATTTGAACTCAGGTCCTCCCGACTCCAGAGCCAGTGCTCTATCCACTTCGCCACTTAGCTGCCCCTTTACTCCTCTTTCTTAAAGCCCTCTTAAATATGTCTCACCCCAGTGTAAAGGAGACTCTAGAATGTAGGGCCTATATTCTTCAGTATTTTGGTCAATGTGTATACAGGATAGTGTGAGAAGTCAATTTCAAATAACTGTGCAAGACATCATCCTAAATAAATAACTAAAAACTGACAAAGCCCTTTATAAGATCAGCGTGTACAAAAACAGGCACAATACAGTAACTTGTGATGTAGCCAAGAAATACAGATAATTTCAACAGGCAAAGATGTGGAGGGAATAAATATCAGTCATAAGGGATGATGACTGATACCAAGAGATAGTAAGGCGAAATCAGGGAACAGATAGATATGAGAGCTCTAGATGAGCTCTATTCTCCTCCAGGTTAGTGACTCATTCTTTATACACTTGTTTTCATGTTAATTTTAATAAGAGGAATGAACACACAGGTATAGATAAAGAATTCAGACAAGTAAACAAATCACAACACACAAGTTTGCAGTTCAACACTCATTTTATTAACATTTTCTCTATATTCTACATAAATGTATATTCCGCATAGAAGAAAAACAGGTTTCATGGGCACAACAGAAACAATATGGTGAAGGTAAGATGGCAATCACAGGAAAGAATCTCAGGCAAAGAGATTTCACCGCTTTCTAAAACAGTGCCTGCAAAAGCTGTGATGAGGAGAGATTATCCAGAATAATGAAGATAGAAAATTTGCATCACTTGCATTATATCTCAAAAACTAGCATTTTGCCCTTTTATTAACTCAGTTGCCTTAAACCTACACTGTACTCTCTCTGAGGAGACAGATAGCTGGGTTTGGAGAAGCCATGTTTTACTATCTAGACCATTTTCCCTGAGTTCTGAGGGAAAATCTGCATCAAGGTCAAAAACATACTTTCCCTTTAACTTACTCAGTTCAACTCTACCTTACCTGACTCATAATCCTGACACAAAGCAAGGAAACAATACATTAGAGCCAACATAAAGAATAACTATGTGTAATACATGAGTGGTCAGCTTTTTTTCCAGGCAGGACAATTTCCTAAAACAAAGAAAAATGCAAAGGGAAGGTAAGGGATGTAAAAGGTAATAAATGTTCCCAGATGTACAAACTAAAACAGCCTCTTAGTTTGGTAATCTCTTTAGTTAGGATTATTTATGCAAAGCACCATACAGAAAGGTAATTGATCAAAAGCACTATCAGGAAGCTGGTATCAACAATATTAGAAACATAAGAATGAGATTTTAGAAACTGTCCAATGTACTGTATTTGTTTCATATTAAGGTAAAGTCACTAGTAACTCAAACATTAACAACTTAGCTACACTTGACAAATAGAAAAATGCATTGACTTGGGAATTAGGAAATTTGGGCTCTTATCCCTGTTCAGTTACCAGCTAATTATTATCTTGGACAAGTCACTTTCTTTACCTTTCTGGGCCTGTGTATTCCCGTGTGTAAAATGATGGTGTGGTAGGCTACCTTCTTAAACAATCCCTCTAAAATCTGGTGACCATGAATGCAAGTAGTTACACAAAGATAAGGGAAAACATGCTTGTGAAGTTTCTGAGGAACTCGATGAAACACACAGCTTTAGAGAAGCTTACTCAAAGACCTGGCTCTCCTAAAGGCCAAAGTCCCTCAGGCTAAAACATAATAATGCCTTCATGCTCGATCATAGAGTTTCCAATTCAAGGCCAAAGGGAGTCAGGGAAATTACATGCTGAAATTACATTTCCTTTGGTCCTTTGAGTTATAAAATACCCTGGATAATGGGATAAGAGTACAGTGTGTATTTACAGATATTTTAGCCCTACAATGCAGACAATGGGCCAGTAACATGGTGCTTTCACTGAGTTTCATATTAACAACCAACCCACTGCAACATTCAAAGCTGCTTTATTGCAAATATATCCCTTCAATTCACAGTACTTTAGAGGATTCACATAAACTACATTGTCTAAATCATTGTAATTTTAACATTCTTATTACATATAATTCAAAGTCTTAACAGCAATGATTTTAAAGCATCAATCAATTATACAATCAGACCTTATGTGACTTTCTCCCCCAACTGTCAAATATTAAGTGAGATGGCACTCATGTACATTTCCTGTCAGCTGAAGCAGACATCTCCAGTTTGAAAAAAAAAAAAAGGCCTACAGGAACTGCCAAGAATCCAAGAGTTCATTATAAAGCTGGTTTGGCCTTCAATTTGACATGGAGTATTAAATTTCATAAGACATCAAACTAGTTAATTAGACAGAAAAAATGATATATAATCAGTCATCCAAAACACAAAACAGAATTCATGACAAAGAATGGACTTTATGGGAATTATCATCACTATACCATGACAAGGGAAAATCTCAAACTCTAAAACTAGTTTAAAATAAATCATATATCATAGAAAATAAGGAAAGTCATATAAATTAGGAAATAATATAAGACTAACTACAGATTTGTCTTACGCATGGCAGGCATTCCAAAATATTTCTTCAATGAATTAAGGAATGATCAAATCACTGTATGGTATTAGCTGCCTGATGTGTTTTAGGTTTACCTTTTAGATTTTGGTTGTTTTATTCGTTTACATAATTTCATTAACTGGGCTCCAAACAAGCGTATCCACAAATTGTAAGCTTTGAATGGGAATTAATGAGAATAAATGTGCCAGTCTACTTGGTCAAATAGAGTAGCTATCTTTCCACAGATTATTATATGTATATTAAATTACTTTACATTCCTTTAACATAACTCTAGTTAGTCATGACAGTGGAATCATCAACTTTTTACATCTTTCAGAGAAAGATAACAGCATCACTTGCAAAGTGCTACCTAAGACAATCTTGAGTTACTTTAACATTACAAACATGGCTCTCATCCTATTTCCCTGATACCTTAAATACAGTTTTATTAACTAATAGATTAAGTAAATTTCAATTAAAAATTTAGGAAGCAGCAAAAATAACTGAACTACAGATAATATAAGAAACAAAAAAACGTGAAATCTACACATGAGGCAATCCTACCATTAAAAATTCTGGAATGGCTGTTCAGAACAATGTACATTTCCCTGAGCCTTTGTTTCCCTCCTATTGCTTTCTCATCTTCAAATAAGTATAGATTTGGAGAATAAAACATTTTGAATTTTCAAGTAAAGGAAAGCAGATTTTACCAAATGGTCCATGAAAAAAGATATCATTCATGAGGATGAGGCGAACTCTCTTAAGAGTTTTATCACAAAAATTAAAATGGGATTGAAGAGTACACATCTTTTCAAAGTATGTTAAAGGTTACTGGCAAAAATAACAGTTTTAGGGGAAAGTCACATGAAATAAGACTAAATCAGCTATCTGTTTACTGATCTAATTAGATCTATAACAAGATACAGATTTAGTTGCACATTTTCAAGCAAACCACTTTACTAATTTCTATAATCATTTTCTGTCATTAATTCTTCCCATTAGCCTCCCTCATCCTTCCACCTTATCTCAACTCTGCAAAATGATCAAGAACTCAACATTTATACTAATAACCTTGAGTCTGATTTTAATTCTTTCTCCTCACTCTGACTGACTACAAATGCCTTCAGTCTGTTCCACCCTTAGAACAATATTCTGTAACAGGCCAACCAGATAAAACCAAAAGCACTACTAGTATGCTGGTGACATATATGTTTTTCAAAACAAGGCAAGAGGAGAGTGGATGGCTCAGATACACAACATAAAAATGCACTCAATGGAGATCTGAACTTTGAATATGTTTTCACCATGTTAAATAAAAGAAGGTAAAAGTCATGTCTGTCACCTTTTAAATGCATGGGTAGTACCAACTTCCAAAAAAAAAAAAAAACAACCCCATTCACCTCAGCTTCTGAACTGCTTTTACAGCTCTCCATGGTTGAGAACTATGTCAAAGAACTGTAGGTTTCCAGTCCTACTGACAAGAATCTGTCCTGACTGGCAGCTCTTTAGAAGAAACTTACCAGTTCCAATATCTAGGATTCAATAAATCCATTCACAACAGAGAAAACAGGTCTGCCAGTAGAGCACCACTGGATGATGACAGAGCCAACTACAGAGGTATATGGAGACTACCTTGGGGACTATTCTTTGGAGTGTGTAGTGCAAAAAGTCCATATTGCTTTATCATGCATAGTTTACCATCTTGCCATGCCAACAGCAACACCCAGCCTGTTCCATGGTTAATTCTTAAGTTGAGAGTTAATAGTTGGATTAATTGAGTTTTTCCCCGCCAGAAATAATCACCTAATCAGGGGTCATTATATGAGCAGTATACTCCTAATATGGATGAAAAAGCTATCTCTTATGCTCTGCATTTAACACTGCAGTGATAATGTTCTTCAAAATGAATGAGCTCATATAAGTCCTTATACAACTAAGTTCCACAAAAGAGTTTGAAATGATCAAGTATCCTTCTAATTCATATTTCAACTGAACTGCACCCTTACAATCCTGCCTTGTGAAATTTATATTGACTAATTATAATTAATATGTCACTATTTTAAAAGTACTATTGTAACTGTCATTAAAAATCTTTACAGTAAAACAGGAATACCTTGCAAAATATATTATTATCGCACACAGAAAATAAATAAGGTTTTGGAAGCTACAAATACAAAGACGTAGAGAAACTTAGAAGACCCAGAACAAAGATCCCAAGGCCATGCCAGTGGCTGCCCCAGCCAACATGCCCAGAGCTAGGTCTCCATCGTTGTCCCGGTAACGCTCCCTGATGATGACATGGTTGGCAGGCTGCTGTCCATAAGGTCCTAGAAAAGATGCACAACAGAATGTTACATACACTGTCAGACAAAGCTGCTATGCTGGTTAGTTTGGCTTAACTATTTTCCTTTGTTGAAGGTAACAAGTTCAATGTGTACATGTTTTGGTGGAGGAAACACAGAAATGACTAATGTAAAATAACAAAAAGTATCAGCAAAACCTAATTGTTAAAGAAAAGAACACAAAACAAGAGAGGACAGGGATATTTTATATCTAATCCTTACCAAAATATCTTTTTCCTTATGAGATACCAAGACATCACATTTCCTTTTAAACCAACAAAATAAAGCTGACTTCCCTTCAAACAGATCCAACAGTTATTTTCCATTAGAATGTTTGACCTATGGCCTATATTCCTATAGTCTAGGCTATACAAGGAAAGCTGTAACTTTCCAGTATGGAGTAAAAGTGATGATGGCTCTTTTTTGGTGTTCCACAACCCCTCTACTACTATTTTCAAAAGGCCAGATTCACTGGTATCAAAAAATGCTAGGAAAACTTATATAAACTGATGCAAAGTTAAGTGAGCAGATGCAGGAAAAAAAAAATTATACAGTTACAGCAATATTACAAAGATAATCAACTGTGAAAAAATTAGGAACTCTGATCAACACAATGGTAAATCACAATTCCACAGGACTCATGATGAAATATTCTATCCACCTCCAGATAGGGAGCTGATGGACTGACTAATCAGAGTGCGGATCGCAGCATATTTTTTCTTTTCCTTTGGAAGGGAGGGGGAACATGGCAAATGTAGGAATATGTTTTCCCTATTTGTAATGGGTTTTGTTTCTCTTGCCTTCTCAATTGTTAGGGGAGTAGAAGGAGGGAGGAAAGGGGCAGCTAGGTGGTACAGTGGATAGAGCACCGGCCCTGAAGTCAGGAGTACCTGAGTTCAAATCTGGCCACAGACCAAAACACTTCACACTTACTAGCTGTGTGACTCTGGGCAAGTCACTTAACCCCAAATGCCTAAAAAAGGGAAAAAAATAAAAAAGAGGAGGGAGGAGGAGAGCTCAGAACTGAAAATAAAACAAAATTGAAATTAAAAAAGGCTTGATAACACTTTAGTTCCAATACTTGACTTCCCCCACTTTCGAATTCATGCTAATTGAAAGTCAAACTCATCAACTCAAGACAAATAAAATCTCTACTATTACCAACCACCCAACCAAAAAAATAAATTGCAAAGGCTTGGAGATTCAGAACTGGAAGCAAACTCAAAGATCATCTAGTCTAACCCCCTCATTTTTACTGCAAACTAAGTAATTACTGACTAATTATTACTCAATTAAATTGAGTTGCCCAAAATCACACTGGCAGTAATTAGATTAGAACCCAGAACTTGATTCCCAAATCCAATGTTCCTTCCACTGTATTCCTCCATTTTCTCTAACATACCTTTAATGTATCTGCAACACTTGAGCCTCTATTTTCTACTACAGTTGGCTAAGCACAGATCCATCAGGATAACAAATAGAGTAATAAATGAGAAACGAGCAGAGTGGTAGAGAATCCAGGGATTCCACAGAAATTCCAAAGATGAAAGAGTGGTTAGAAAGTTAATTAGCCCACTGGCAGTATAACAGAAGGAGAGAGGAGGGCAAACTCATTAAACTTTCAACCATTATTACCTAAGAATCATTCTTTAATACAGCAGTTATGAACTTTAAAACAGAAACTTTCAATCATGCAAATTAAATTTTAAATTAAAACTAAATCTCTTCCTATAACTTGCTTTTGTTTTTAAATACATAGAAGTCATTTACTATATATCCAACAGCAAAAAATACATATTTTTCCTAAAAATCTTTTAAACAATCAAATATTATACAATCTATACTATCACTGTTCATACTATTAAATTATTATTGAAGCAAAAGGTAAAAGTATGGTAGTGGGAATGAAAGATCATTATCATGAACAGATCTTTGCCTACAGCCTCTCTCCTATCCAATTCATTCTACATACCACTGATTAATCTTCACTTTTCAAAAACTTTCAATGGCTTCCCATAACTAAAAGTTAAAACCATGGCTATCCATGTTCTGGCCTTGAATTCTCTTTCTATACTCAGACTAATGAGTCTACTAACCACTCCTACAAAATGTTATTAACATTCTCACCTCCATATTTTTGCCCGAGCCTGGAAAGACTGCCTTTCCCACTCCTACCTACCCAAATCTTATTGATTGCTGAAGGTTCAGCTCACAAGCCACCATCTTTATGAAGTCTTCCTTGACCATTTCAGCCAGTAGCAATCTCTTCTTCTGAAATCTTTATTGTACTTGTTAGCATTATACATTTAGCACTTACTCATATACTACCTTCTAAGATCTTTTGTGTAACTACCTTATCCTGCTACTAAATGCTTGTATTTGTATATAATGTTGAGTATAATGGAGGCAGGGTATTAGGAATTAAGAGACATGAGTTCTGGTACCAGCTCTAATACTGTCTTACAGGACCTTGGCTGACTTGAAAGTGACTTGAAAACACTGGACTAAGTTCATAACTTCAGTTATCCTCGACTCTTTCCACTCGCTTATCTCCTATATTCAATCAGTTGCTGAGTCTCATTAATTCCATTTTCACAATACCTTTTACATCTATATCCTAGACCAGGAGTTGGCAAACTACAGCCCAAGGGCCAAATCTGAACTACCACCTATCTTTGTATGGCCTGCAGGCTGAGTGGTTTTTATATTTTTAAATGATTTTTTAAAAAAATCAAAATAATAATATTTTGTGACATGTGAAGATGAGTTAAACAATTAAAATCTTTTTTTTTTTGGCAAGGCAATTGGGGTTAAGTGACTTGCCCAGGGTCACACAGTTAGTAAATGTCAAGTATTTGGTCTGAGATAAGATTTGAACTCAGGACCTCCTGACTCCAGGGCCGGTACTCTATCTACTGTGCCACCTAGCTGCCCCATAAAATTAAAATTTCAATGTCCATAAATAAAGTTGTATCAAAACACAGCCATGCTCAGGTTTATGTACTGTTTATATATGCTTTCCCATAGCCGCAGGGTTGACTAGCTGTGACAGAGACCATATGTGGCACTATCACAGTTTAATGCTGCTGTTCAGTGCACTACAAATCACAGTGACACAACTGTAACTTGACAGCATTTTGGGTGCCATGTATATTGCTGTACTGAAATCTTTTTTTTTTTTGTTTAAATCAGTGCATATCTGTTGCATTAAAATGAGAAAATAAGAGAAAAATAGTTTTGGGTTTTTTTTTAAATTCTATTCTAGGGGTCCAGTGTTGAGACTGAAATATTTCTGAATGAGAAGAACTACCTCTCCCTTTCTCCTTCTAGCACATTTCTCTCTCTCATCCCTTAATATATTACTTTTCAGGTATCATCCCTTCATATTCAACTCATCTTGTGCCCTCTGTCTATATATATTCCCTCCAACTACACTAATAACGAGAAAGGTCTTATGAGTTAAAATATCACCTTTCCATGCAGGAATGTAAACAGTTCAACTTTAATATGTCCCTTATGATTTCTTTCCTATTTATCTTTTCATGCTTCTCTTCAGTCTTGTATTTGAAAGTCAAATTTTCTATTTAGATCTGGATTTTTCATCAGGAATGTTTGAAAGTCCTCTATTTCACTGAATATCCATTTTCTTCCACTGAATAATTATACTCAGTTTTGCTGGGTAGGAGATTCTTAGTTTTAATCCTAGCTGCTTTGACCTCTGAATATCATATTTCAAGCCCTCTGATCCCTTAATGCAGAAGCTGCTAAATCTCGTGTTACCCTGACTGTGTCCACTATACCCAAATTGCTGCGTGCAATATTTTCTCCTTGACCTGGGAACTCTGGAATTTGGCTACAATATTTCCTAGGAGGTTTTCTTTTAGGATCTCTTTCAGGAGGTGATTGATGAATTCTTTCAATTTCTATTTTACCCTCTAGTTCTAGAATATCAGGGCAGCTTTCCTTCATAATTTCTTTTTTTAAAAAAATTTGGTTATTTTTAGTTTTCAACATTCACCTCAACATTCACTTCCATGAGATTTTAGTTCCAAATTTTCTCCCCATCTCTCCCTTCCCCCCCACTCCAAGATGGCATGCAATCTGATATGAACCTATTTTCACATTAGTCATGTTGTAAAGAAGAATTAGAACCACTATAAGAAACCATGAGAAAGAAGAAACAAAAAGAGAGAGCGAGAGAGAGAGAGAGAGAGAGAGATCATGTATTTTGATCTGCCTTCAGACTCCATAGTTCCTTTTCTGGATGTGGACAGTATTTTCCATTATGAGTCCTTTGGAATTGTCTTAGATCCTTGCATTTGCTGAGAGGAGATGAGTCTGTCAAAGTGAGTCATCACACATTGTGGCTGTTACTGTGTACAATGTTCTCCTAGTTCTGCTCATTTCACTCAGCATTAGTTCATATAAGTCTTTGCAATTTTTTCTGAAGTCCACTGGCTCATCATTTCTTATAGCACAAAGTATTCCATTACATCCATACGCCACAACTTGTTCAGCCATTCCCCAACTGATGGGCATCCCCTCAATTTCCAGTTCTTTGCCACCTCAAAAAGAGCTGCTATAAATCGTTTTGTACATGTAGGTCCTCTTCTCATTTCTATGATCTCTTTGGGATACAAATCTAAAAGTGGTATTTTTAGAGCCTTTTGAGCATAGTTCCAAATTGCTCTCCAGAATGGTTAGATCAACTCCACCAACAATGCATTAGTGTTCCAATTTTCCCATATCTTCTCCAGCATTATTTTCCTTTTTTGTCATGTTAGCCAAAATGTTCGCCAGAATGGTTGGATCAGTTCACAACTCCACCAACAATGTATTATTAGTGTTCCAATTTTTCCACATCTTCTCCAACATTTAACATTTTTCTATTTTGTCATGTAGCCAATCTGATCGGTGTGATGTGGTACCTCAGAGTTGTTTTGATTTGCATTCCTCTAATCAATAGTGATTTAAAGCATTTTTTCATATGACTACAGATAGCTTTAATTTCTTCATCTGAAAACTGCCTATTCATATCCTTTGACCATTTATCAATTGGGGAATGACTTGTAGTCTTATAAATTTGACTCAGTTCTCTATATATTTCAGAAATGAGGCTTTTATCAGAGACATTGGTTGTAAAAATTCTTTCCCCAGTTTTCTGCTTACCTCCTAATCTTAACTGCATTGGCTTTGTTTGATAAAACTTTTTAATTTAATGTAATCAAAATTATCCATTTTGCATTTCATAATGTTCTCGATCTCTTGTTTGGTCACAAATTTTTCCATTCTACATAAATCCTACAGGTAAACTATTCCTAGTTCTCTCAGTTTGCTTACAGTATAAGCTTTTATATCTAAATCGTGTACCTATTTTGATTTTATTTTGGTATACAGTGTAAGATGTTGATCTATGCTTAGTTTCTGCCATACTATTTTTCAGTTTTCCCAGCAGTTTTTGTCAAATAGTGAGTTCTTATTCCTTGATAATTTCTTGAAAGATGATGCCTAGGCTCTTTTTTTTTTTGGTCATGGCTTTCAGGTAGTCCAATAATTTTTAAATTCTCTCCTGGATCTATTTTCCAGGTCATTGTTTTTCCAATAAGATATTTCACACTGTCTTCTAGTTTTTTATTCTTTTGGTTTTGTTTTATTGTTTCTTGATTTGTCATAAAAATATTAGCTCCCATTTGCTCCATTCTAATTTTTAAGGAATTATTTTCTTCAGTGAGCTTTTGGACCTCCTTTTCCATTTGGCCAATTCTGCTTTTTAAGGTATTCTTTTCATTGGCTTTTTGGACCTCTTTTGCCATTTGGGTTAGTCTGTTTTTTAAGGTGTTATTTTCTTCAGCATTTTGGGGGGTTTCCTTTAGCAAGCTGTTGGCTCATTTTTCATGATTTTCTTACATCACTCTCATTTGTCTTCCCAATTTTTCCTCTACTTCTCTTACTTGCTCTTCAAAATCCTTTTTGAGCTCTTCCATGGCCTGAGACCAATTCATATTTTTCTTGGAGGCTTTGGATTACTTTTGGTTGTATGTTTTGATCTTCTTTGTCACCAAAGTAAGATTCTATAATCCGAGTATTTTTCTGCTGCTTGCTCATTTTCCCCACCAATTACTTGACTTTTAAACTCTTTGTTAAGGTAGGGTTCTGCTTCCAGTGTCTTTTTGAGGGTTCTGCTGTTCTAGAATTTGTTTAGAGCCAGTTTTACAGGTATTTGGAGAGGTTTGGGGGAGAGCTCAAGCGAGTCCCTGCTTTTATTCCACCATCTTGGCTCTGCCCCCTTATTATAATAATTTCTTAAATGGTCTTCCTGCTTCCAGGCTTTCCCTTCTTCAATCCATTCTTCACATGGCTGCCAAAATAATCTCAACCTCAACCTGGTGTTTAAAGCCTTCTAAAATTGGGATCCAACCTACTTTTATTCACTTATTTCACATTATTCTCCTAGATGCATTTAACATTCCAGGAAAATGACATACTAGGTATTCCCTGAATTCAATATTCCATCTCCCATCACCACGTCTTCCCACAGACTGCCTTCATGCATGCTATGCACTAGATCAGTTCCACCTTTTAGAATTCTTAGTTTCTGACAAAGGTGTTTGTGGGAATTGGAGGGGAAGGGAGATATTATATATACTGTTAAACTTGACTGAGCTGTTGGTGAGTTTTGCTCAACTGTCTCTTCTTTCTCCCTTTTAAATTTTGTATTACAAAGGGCTGGTAGTTCTCTGAGGAGGAAGGAGAGAAGGGAAATCTTTGGAAATGAAAGTGATACAATGCAAAAGATAACAATTTTTTTTCTTTAAAAAGAATTCTTAAGTTTCCTTCAAGGGTCAATTCTGATGCTAACTCCTATGCAAAGTCTTTCCTGATCCTCCAATTTGTTGCTGCTCTCTTCCTCCAAATAAGCTTGTATTTATCTGAGTACTGTGTATGCCAATAGAAGATAAGCCCCTTGAGGGCAGAAATCATTTCATTTTGTCTTCGCCCCATGCCTAGTACAATGTCTTACACATAACAGGAACTTAAACATGTTTGTTGAATTAGAGCAGCTCTCAGTTTCTCTCACATACAAAAGTTCTCAAGAAGCCTCGACTAGATGATTTTCAAGTTGTCTCCTCAACTAGGTTATAAATTTACTTAAAGACACTATGTATTATATTTTTATATTCCCTATAGTTCCTAACTATATGCACACAGTAGGAATTTAATAAAGAACTGCATAATGGAAATGAATTAACTAGAGGAAATGCTCCTACTGCCACAGGGAAGATGAAAATGAATGATGAATCTGTGGACAGCAAGCACACATTCAACCTTGCTTGCAAGATAAATGGTATATTCTGCACAAAAGGATAGTTTGCTAATAATGTAATAATATTCCTGCATGGCTTGGAGATAGCCCTATATTATGAGCTACCTTTGCACTAGGAGCTGCCGAGCCAGTGGCTAATTCCCTCCCTGTTCTCTCACTTTAAGCTGGCCAAGTAATTCCATTTACCTACACCTACCCCTTACAATAGGAACATTTTGGAACTGAATAGTACCCTAATGAGAATCATTTTTTAAAAAAAGGCCCCTCAATAAAGAGAATGCATGTTTTCCTATTCATTTAAACCTTTAGCTCTTTCAGTTATCTTGTTCCCTACCTATAACCTAGAACTTTTGATCATGCCTTCCACGTCCTCTAAAATTTGTGTCCTCGGGTTTTTGTCTGCCTTATGTCTTGCCCAATGCTTCCCCGGAACCCTTGCTATCCAAACATGATCTGATCAGTCTTCCTACCTAGTTCTGATACGTGACACCTAGCCACAACCCTATTCTAGATTCCTCTCTTATTTCAAGACCTTTGATTCTACGTTCACCACTGGCTTCCAGTACTTACCCCAAATCCAACCCACCCCCATGCCAAACTTCCACTCTGGATGCAACCTTACCAACTCTTTTAGTTCCAACACTAACCCTGGCACCTGTGACCTGCTGCAACTTACAAAGTATCCAGCTAGAAATCTATCATTCGTTTTTCATTTTACAGGGGGTGGGGTAGAAGAGAATGCTATATCAAAATCAAAGATAAATTATAATTTAAGTCCCTTGAAGATCTCTATTATAATGGCCAACAAAAAATGTTCAGAGGGACAACAAAAAAGGAATTCAAAGGATAATCAGGGAAAAAATTAAAATAATCTATTTTAAAGATTTCCTTTCCTTTAACATAGATCTTTTAATTTTTTTACATCTTAAATATTAATGCACTTCATTAATTATGATTTCTCCCCTTGCGACCCAAATTATATGGACTTAGAGGAGACTTTTTATTTTATAATCTTTACATCTATTCCACCATTTCAAAACAATTAGAAAACATGAAGCTCTTATGTAGATGTTTGATTTGAAGATCATACTTTGGATAAAAAACAAAAAATAAAATAATATTCCAAAATTAGGAAAAATAAACAACAAAGAGTAATATACACACTAATTAAAGAGACAATAACATTGCCATTAGTTACCTGGATATGGATACTGGTATGGTATCGCATAAGACTGCCCGTTAGCAGCATAAATAACTTGAGTCCCTGGTGGGTATGCACCATTATATTGACCGTAGCCAAATACCTGTTTCAATGGAACATTAGGCATATGTTAAGATTTATAATATGTTTTCCGAAACTCAAGAAAATGTATTGACATTTCCTCTCCTAGGTTGTACTCACCAAAATTTTAACAGTTAATATAAACAGTGAAATGCCATATGGGCATTATCCTTACTAAAGAAAAGACTTTATTAAAAAACTAAACAAAATGGTTAAGTTGGATGGTGACTATATGTATCACAAGGAGACTCTTTTTCTCACAAAATCACTTATGGTATTTTGCCATGCATAAATCAAAGATTAAAAACATAATTTCAAGCTAAATTTTTTACTCTAAAATTTGAAAGGCAGCATCATATAGAAGGAAGAACATTGGAATTGGTATAGAGAGCTTAGATTCTAATGCTGGCCCTACTAACTAGCTACATGACCTTGAACAACTCACTTATTATATATCCTGGCCTCAGTTTCTTGATCTATAAAGGGAGGGATTTAGAATAGATGATTTCTTAAGTCAATTCTAATTCTTAAGTCAGTCAATAAACATTTATTAAACACCTATCATGCTCCAAGAACTATGTTAGATTTATCTACAATTGAGTACCTAGACTTGAGGCCTAGCCATAAACCTAGCTGAATAACGACATATGGAAGTTAACACCTCTCTAAGTCTCCATTTCTTCAGTTATAAAACTGAATTATTATCATTTGCAACATTTACCTCCCAAGGTTAGTGTGACATAAGTGCTTTGCAAACTACAATGCACTATATTAGCAACTATTATTCTCAGTAGATCTATCTTTGCCTAACCTGTTACTAAATCAGTTTCTCATGGACCAATAAGCAATACCAAGAGGACAATAACTATGTCTAAATTGCCAAAGCAGCAGACTGGGGAAACCTCCTGCCTAAAAAGGCTGTAGCTGCTGAAAACAGTAGTACAAGAGCTTTGACCTATATAAGAACTATAGGTTAAAAGCATTTTTAAGTCTATCTACACACCACATTGACTTATAACTCAATATATATATTTATACACAGACATACATGATACTGAAGTTACCTGAATTTGTGAGGTGCCCAGACCTTTGAAAATGTTTCCTTAAAAATTCCAATTTATACACAAGATTGATTTCATATGTCACCCCTCATGTACTCTATGTTCTAGCCCATCTAGCCTCCTTGATATTCCCCGTATGTAATTTTTCATCTCCACTGTCTTTAGACAGACTATCCTATAAACCTGTTATGTCCTTTCTCCTAATCTACACCTCTTGGAATCCCTGGCTATCTTCAAGGCTCAGCTCAAGTGCCAGCTTCTCCCAAATCCATTCATGATTCCTCTGGTTGCTATTTTTTTTTTTTTGTATATATTTTTGCATTTATTCAGCACAGTGCCTGGCACTTAGTAGGCAAAAATAAATGCTTACTGAATTAAACTAGACTATCAGCTCTATGATGGCAGTCAGTGTGTTATATTGCATTCAACCCAGAGCCCTTCATAGAATACCATGCAAAACTTTAGAAAATCCATGATTTTATCCACCTGAGTGATCCTTCCATTGACAAATATTCTAACAACTCCATACTTCAAATAAACAGTTTCAAGTGTAAGTGTGGTCAAAAGGGAAAAAAAAAAATAACCAGCTAGGCAGCCTTCCAGTGCACAAAGTAGGCAGGTACTTTTATGTTCACTGAATATGAATGATTCAGTCATTCAAATGGGAAAGTCTTGGGATGTAATCCTAAGTTCTCTGATGGTGCATTCAAGGTGAAAGAAGGACTGAAAGAAGAGACTAAAATCCTTCCACCATTAGGATTCTATTTCCTCCCTCATACTTCCTTCCATACCTCAGGAGATGGTGTGGCATAAGCTGTATAAGGAGGAGGAGATGAAGCAACAGCAGTCTCATCATACATGACTTCTGAGCCAACATAAGCCTACATAAGAGGAAAGAAAGGAAGAAAAAAGATCATTTCGAGAGTAAGAAAAACTGGTCCAAAATGTACTGCATACATACTTCATAATCATAGACATACAAAATGAAAATCACAAGCTCACTCATAAATGGGAAACGTAAATATGCTAAATGAAATATGCAGAAGGGAAAAACAAAAAGTATCAAACCTGTGGTATGAAAGACACTGACTAGTTATGTCTATAAATCTTTATGGTTATCATTTACAATAGCATAATGTTCATATGGATAAAGACTAATGCCAAACACCTTCAAAAAAAAAAACTACCAAAAAATGAAAAGTTTGTAAAGCTATTTAAAGCCTTTCCCTTGTCCCAACTTCCCCACCTTAGTCCAGTAAGGCATATAACTGGCCATGTATAAATAATGACAGTGTTTGTCTGACCCTAAAAAGGTTGATGTATATACCAAACTGAAAACTTACTGTATTAGTCCTCGCATCCTGCAGTGCAAATTTCCAAGCCCTGGTGGGGGAAAAGGTAGTTTTACTTAAGGGTAAGTCATCCTTCCTATTTTATTCAAAGGGTTGCACAACAATTAAAACCTCTTATAGGTGTCCACTTTATAGATTTAACTACATAGTTGGCAGTCCTTCATACTAGAAGGACACTCAACAGAGAAATAGGAGGGAAAAGGGAGAAGGCAGAATTATTGGGAAGACAGAATAAGGGAGAGATTAGTTGTAGAAAAATGAACTCTAAGGATGTACTAAAACATTTATAGCTCTTTTTAAAGTAGCAAACAATAGGAATACGAGAGAACAAAAAATGATGAAGATCCCGGAATGGTTTCAGAGAAACCTGGAAAGACTCATATGAACTGATACAGACTAAAGGAAACAGAACCAAAAGAACAATTTATGCAATGACAACAATTTTGCAAAGATAAAGAACTGTGAAAGACTTAGGAACTCTGTTCTGCATAATTACCAATCATGAGTCTAACAGAATAATTCTGAAACCTACTACTCACCTCCTCGCAGAAAATCAAGGCTTAGGAGTGAAGAATTATCAATAGATTGGTATACAGATATTTGTATATGGCCAAAGTGGAAACTTTTGTTTTGACTATACATGTTTGTAACAGAAGTTTTTTCTTTCTTTCTCAATTTGAGAAGGTGGAGGTAGAGGAGTGGAGGATGAGAAAATAGATTTTTGCTGATTAAAAAAAGTAAAATTTAATTTACAGGATATGGCACGAGTGGGGTGCAAATTTACACTTGACAGAAGAAAATCTTTAAAAATATTCAAAATGGAATGGACTCCTTTGGGTGGTAGTTACCCCCATCCCTGAAGGCCTATAAGCAATGGCGGAATTGGATGACCACTTGTCAGGTAAGACATACAGAGAGAATTCCTCTTCAGGTACGAGTTAGACTGGGTGGTCTCAAAGTTCCCTCATATCTCCAGGATATTGTGAGTCTCTAAATGTGAGCTCAAACTCTCTACCAGTCAGTTCACTTTATATTTCATAGATATTCCTTATTTTCACCAGACATATTGCAAACAGGCAGTGCAAAGCACAGGCTCTGCTGACCATATGTCAAGTGTCATTTTTAGAAGGAAGGTACATTTTTAAACTAGACATAATCATTCTATTCAACTGTGCTATTTTAGTACATATTCCAGCATCATGACACTGAACTGTATAAATCACCTTTAAAGTCTGACAGCCAGGCAGTTTTTACATCATACATCAGATCAGAATATGCCCTTAGAAATTCCATGTTTACACTATGATAACTAAAGACCTGCAATAATTGAAATTCAAAAGAAACTCAAAGAAAAGTCAATAAACATTGCACAGCTTTTGTGTGTTGAGAATGAAACGATGTGCAATAAGGATACTCTGACATAAAATGATGTATGAGATCTCGTGAAATTGTCCTACCAAGGGCAAGAATATAATTTCAGAAACAATATAAATAACTTTACAACCTCAGATACTGAATAGCATAAACACATTCAATTCTACTGTAGTCATAACCAAACTATAACAATGGAATAGATGAAATCTACCTACTATCCCTCAACTTCACCTTATTCAATTTCAATATTCCTATAATTACATAAATATATAAATAAAATATACACATTTAAGTTTTTCCTCTTTTTACTTCCCCAGTCCATCTTCAGATGGAGGTCAAAATGAACAGGGAAATGACTAAAGGAACAATTAAGCAACAAGCACTTACTAAGCACCTACTGTGTACCAGGAACTGGATCTATACAGACAAAACTGAAACAGTTTCTACCTTCAAGGAACTTGCATTCAATTAGGGAAAATAACATAGTCAAATAATTAAATTTAAGATATGATGAACCAGAAGAATTTCTACTTTATTTTAAAGAAAACAGGATGCCACTGGGGATTTTAAGATCCAGTCAGAGCTATGCTTCAGTAATAGCACTTCACTAGAGATGGATGGATTAGAGCTGGTAAAGACCTGAGGCAAACAGTTCACTTAAAAGGCCTCAGCATTTGGCCAGTGATGAAGGTATGAACTAGGGCCATAGCTATATGTGAGGGAAGAGGAAAAGACATATGAGAGATGTGGTGAAAACAGAATTGAAAAGACTTAATAAGTGACTGAATAGGAGGATGAAAGAAAATGAAAAATCAGGAATGACTCTCAAGGTTGCAAATCTCAGTAACTGGAAGAATAGTACTGCCCTCAATCGGAGAAAGGAAGATGAGAAGTAAAGGACTACATAATATAAATGTTAATGCTCTTTTCTTTTCAAAAAGATCACAGGGTTTCCACTGTTTTCTTTTCCTTAAAAAGAGAAATATGCAAATGACAAAAAAAAAATTTGCGGAATTTAAGAACACATTTAATTCTGCCTGCTAACCAATTCGGATTCAAGATAAAATGTTCACCAAACTGAAAAAGAAAGCATGCAATTGTACAGTTGTTAAGTGAAGTCACTCTCATTACAAAGCAATACTACCATGGAAGCCCAGGATAATCAGAAAATATAATCACAGTAATTAGAGATGGAAAAGACCTATTAAAGTTTCCCTCATCCATCTCCTAGAGTCATTTACTTTACAGCCTGAAGGGAAACTCTCCTCCCACTTTTCCCAACTCCACCCCCTCAACAACAAAAAAGTTTAACTGGAAATCATGTCAGAAAATATTCTTTCAAATCGGACACACAAAAGAGAACAACACTTACAAGCAATCATCTTCACTTTCTGCACAAAGATTGATAGTTTTCCCATCTCGGCAAACAATTTGAAGTATGCAGTCTTTTGGCTTGCCCTCAGGAGGATGAAAATCTATGGAGAAAAATTAGAAGGGGTTTAGAAGAGTGGGAGTATTTTAAGTAATACAAAAAAAATGTGTTACAAAACACCAAGTCACATATTAAACACATCCTCTCAAATCACAGAACAATATAAATGTGTTGTGATGTGTTTTCTAAAAGATTTAAGGCAGAAATGAGATCAAAGACAAGTTCCTTTTTCAGTCTACATGAGCAAATAAAGAGACTTCTTCAACAGGGCACCACCAAGAGACAACTGCTCACCCAGTACATAAATCAACAGAAATAATGCTCCATGTGAAAAAAAAAAAAAAACCTCAATGACAAAGTTGCCACCAACTGTACCCTAAAGAGAAAAGTGATACTGTATTTACATTGAAAGCAACCAATGGTTAAAAATGTAGATAAGCACTAAAATATAGGTAAAGTGAACAAGTCTTTTCTCTTTCCATAATCAAACACACAGAAATTACAATTTTATTTTCATTCAACTTCCTCCAGGGAAATAAAATTGGTGATTTAAATACTTTTTCTAAAGAACACTATTTCCATACAAGGGGATGTGTAGAACACACAATGCCTGCCTGTATCCAAATTCAATGTAATATATTATACAAAATGAGCTAAATGAGTTTTATTTAGCAGCAAGTATGAAAAAGGATAAACTGCTTTAATGGGAATCCAGACTTTATGAAATACAGCAGAAATAAAACCTGCATTCAAATTCCAACTCTGACAATATCTATGTGACCTTGGGCACTTAAGTTCCCTGAGCCTACTCCATTATCTCTCAAATAAGAGAGCTGGGGTTGGGAACCTGCGACCTCAAGGCCACTTTCTTCATCCTTGGGTGCAGCTTTTTAACTGAGTCTAAGTTTTACAAAACAGATCCTTTTATTAAGGGCAGCAGGTTCCCCATCACTGAACAAGGGATAGGTCTGAGGTCCCTTCCAATTGAAGATATCTGATCCTATAAACATTCTTGTTTATCATAAAATACAAGAATCAGATTTTAGCAGGATTTTTCTGTAGGTTCATACACTTATAACCCAAATATGGGTGGTGGAGGATAGAATGGCAAACTGACATGAATACTAATACTGGAACTTCAATCCAGGGCGTGGGGTAGAAAAACACAACTAGTCAAATAAATTATCTTCAAAGTCTGAAATGCTATGACTCTATCTAAAATGTTGTATAGTGGAGTATAAAGAACATTGGATTTGGGTGTCAGAAAACCAAGGTTCAAGGCCTACCTCTAACACACAGAGCTGTGTGACCATGAACAGATCACTTCCCCTCTCTCAGCTTCAGTTTCTCATCTGTGAAATGAGACTAATATTTCCTGTACTACCTACTTCACTGAGGATCACACATCAGTCATCATGTTTTAATGTGAACTAATAATAAGCACCTTGTTATGTACTAGGCCAGAGTTGGGAAACCTGTAGCCCTCTAGGTCCTCAAGCGAGGCCCTTTGACTGAATCCAAACGCCACAGAACAAATCCCCTTAATAAAAGGATTTGTTCTGTAAAACTTGGGACTCAGTCAAAAGGCCGCATCCAAGGATCTAGAAGGCCATGCGTGGCCTTCAGACAAGTTAAGCAGTCACAGAAGCTGCCTTCTGCCTTTTGGGGGTTTATAATAATCTTTCCGTAAGGGTTCCAAATACTTAATTTCCTCAGCTTGTATTTTGTGAGACAGGGCCAAATGTTATAGAGCCTTTTTCTATAAGACAAATTATATACAGCACTTTGTAAACCTTAAAACGCTATATAAATGATAAACATTATCATTATTCATAGCTCAATAGCTATTAACAAAAAATATAAGGGTGAAATATAAAGTTTTAAAATTCCAAAGTAATTTATTTTAAGCTACCTTAGGAAGAAGTTAAAACAAGAATGTATTATTTTTATATCTCATAATGGTTAACTATTAAAAATTGGATAAAACATAAAACTAAACTTTGAATACATTACAAACTAACTGACTTATACCTTTTCGTTATTATAAGGTTTGGGGAGTAGGGACCTTTCACAGATTCAAACATATAAATATATCTGGGAGAAATGCAACTTGTACCATACACTGCCCATTGATAAGCTCCCATTACATGGAATCCCAAGATTAAATATCAGGACTTCCAATAGGATTTTTGTAAGAGTTTTATTTCAATCCATTAATGAAGTACAAAATGTTAAAAGTAAATACAGAAATGTCTCCTAGACTAATCAAACACAGGAAATAGAAGAAAAGGACTTCAGCAGAAAAATGCTATTACCTCGACATCCATTTCCCATTCGGATGTTGATGCAGTCCACCAGCATGTGAATCTTATCTTCTACATTCTGCCTAGTCTGGTCATCATAATAGATTAGGTGGCCATCTGACCACAGATCAAACCAGTTTTTTTTCCACCGCTTCAAAATTGTGCCTGAATAAAACAGGAAGATGTTGCTTTGAATCAAAATAACAAACCAGCTTGTTCCTAATTTAACAATACTGTAATATAAACAAAAGAAATTATCCTATTTGGCTCTCTGGATAAGGCTACTAAGGAACTTTCACTAGGCAATCAAAAAATAAAATAAAATAGGGCACAGTAAAATAAAACTTTTCAGTTATGACAATGTCCACTGTGCTATTTTACATATAATATACACCAAAGAGTGGTCCATTCACTACAGAATCAAAAACCAAAGAATACTAAATGTTGACTTGAGCTAAAGAAATCTCTCTCCCATTCATTTCCCTATACTCAACAACCATGTGGACTCTCAATATGCTGGCTTAGCCCCCTTAAAAGATTCAATTTTAGGTCTCTTAGTCCTGAAGAGATCTCTTATGATATCTGTCCCAGAAACAGCACTTCCCCTCCCCCACTTTTTCAAAACATTTTCACATACTTGCTGACTGCCTGATAGATACATCTTGAAGATGGGGAGCAGCATTCAACCTGGAACCAGAAGACCTAGATTCAAGTTGTGGCTGGTGAGTTCTGTGACTGTGAGTAGGTAACTTCAAATGTGCTGTGTTCTTATTGGTGTGAAGTCTGCAATGACTTATCTTGCCTCTGTCACATGGGGGCTCAGAGGAGAATCCCCAGAAAACCTAAATGCCCTACATAAATTGTCTAGTATTTCTAACTATTATGATACATAACAGGCCTGGGCCTCAAGGAAAGAAGGATGGGATTGTCTGATTATGTGATTTAGTGTTTGAAGGAATCTTAGAGTTCAACTAATCTAACCCTCTCATTTTACAGAAAAGAGAATTGATGTTAGAAAGTCAGATGTTAAAAAGGAAAAAAAAGTAAAGGGTTCTTTTCACCACAAAACAAAGTAGTGAAAAATATTCATAAGGGAATTGCTGTTTCCTAGAGTAATAAGAATGAAGATATCATGAAGAGAGAGGAGAGAGAGGGAGAAAAATTCAGAACTCAAAATCCTATAAATATTAAATCTTATAAATCTTAAAAAAGTGAATGTTGTTGGGGAATGGCTGAACAAGTTGTGGTATATGAATGTAATGGAATACTATTGTGCTATAAGAAATGATGAGCAGGCAGACTTCAGAAAAACCTGGGAAGACTTGTATGGACTGATGCTGAGTGAAGTGAGCAGAACCAGGAGAACGTTGTGTGATGACTAACGTTGACAGACTTAGCCCTTCTCAGCAATGCAAGGATCTAAGACATCTCCAAAAGTCTCATGATGGAAAATGCTATCCACATCCAAAGAAAGAACTATGGAGTTTGAATGCAGATCGAAGCATACTATTTGCTATTTTTTTCTTCTGGTTTGTTTTGTTTTCTCTTTCTTTTGGTTCCTCCCATTGGTTCTAATTCTTCCTTACAACATCACTAATGTGAAAATATGTCTAATAGGAATGTATATGTAGAGCTTATATCAGATTGTACACCGTCTTGAGGAGGAAGATGGAGAGGCAGGGGGAGAAAAATTTAAAACTCAAAAACTTATGGAAACAATTGTTGATTAAAATAAATGAATTTAAAAAAGATCTTTTGAGGACAAAAAAGTGAATGTTAAAAACTAAAAATTAATTAATTTAAATTTAAAAAAAAAGAATGCAGCTATCCTAAGAGTTGTATCCTATACTTTGTTAAAAGCATCACAGAGTTGGAAAAGATCTTAAACAAGTATTATCTGGTCTAGTCCCATTTTCAAGTAGGTCAAACTTAAGCAGCCTATGCGAATCCAGTCTCTTCTGAGTTAATACTTTGGCTGAATTCAGAAGCTGACATGTTTTAAAAGGTGAATTTATATCTCTGAATAACAGCATTTGTTGTTACATGTAGTCTTGTGGATGGATATAATAAATATTTCTTAAGTACCTTCTATATGTTAGGCACTGTGCTAAACACTGGAGATACTAATTCTTAAAAAGACAGTCTGTACCTTCAGGAGTTCAAAATCTAATGGAGGAAGACAACATACAAAAAAAAAAGCTGAAAGCTCTTCCTCCTTCACTGCCTCCCCAGCACCATTATATCATGATGTTGCCAATGATGATGGACTCTAAACCAAGCAGAGCAGCTGGTGGCAAATTAAGAGACTGCAGTGATTTTGAGCCCTCTATAAAGGGAGGCTATGGGAGGAGTTTTTTGGTTCACCCTGCAATCAGAGGGGCAAAAACACGTGAAGGTACAGATGAGCTGTTAAACCAAGCTGAGCAGCTCGTGGCAAATGAATAGACTCACAAATAATAAGGCAATCTCCTACCTCTTAACCCTAGAGATGTGGCTAGGCATTTATGGGTAGGGAGGGCATTTTACTTAGGACTACTGGCTGGGAAATAAGTAGCCAAAACATGAAAGATAAAGCTAAAACTGTCTTTCAATCCTCTTTAATTGAGAAATCAAATTTGTTCAATTAAGATTCTTTGGGGATTATGATTTAGAGTAGAACAGAGGTTTAGTTTTCAACAAACTCACTGAACTCATTATTTAATTCAACAAACTTAAGTGCCTACTATGTGCAAAGCACTCTGCTAAAGCTCCAGGGAAGATACAAGGTTTTAGATAAGATCTGGTCCCTGCCCTTGACAGAGTTTACAGATTAAGTCTTTGTCACAGTGTCTGATACTTGGGCAATTCCGAATCAGATTGTTTTCACCTCCACAAATAGTTTAAGCAATGCCCACATCCAAACTGGGCCAGTTCTTTACACAAGCTATAAACTAGCTTTCCGAGGAAAGAGAATAAGACTCAAAGATTTATATGACCTGCCCATAATCAACAGACATTGGAACTAACATTCAACCCAGATAAATTTACTCCAAATTCAATGCTGGGTTGTTGTTGGTTTTTCTCCCCCCATTATACCATGAGCTCTGGGAGCTATGATAATTCTTCCTAAAGGGAAATTAAGAACCTGTTCATAAAATTCTATGTTTACTTTTAAAAGTCTGTTTCATAACAGAACTATCTATCCTAGAATTTATTAAGAAGGTATAAAAATAGATTAAACCCATCACTCACTTTGTCGAAGCAGCCAACCACTCTTGACAAATGCCATCCCTTCACCTTAGAGAGAAAAGAGAGAAGGATTAGAAATGATGACTAAACATACCTTTGGTTTTAAAACAAAATCACAAACTAAAAGGGTCAAATTGAAAATAAAATTTTTCAATTTAATTTAACAAGTATGTATTTATTAAATACCTCCTACATGCTCCACATTGTGTTCCCTCCTTTCAAGTGCTAGCTTGAAATTAGGTCATAACCTAATAGTTGTACTTACTAGTGATCAAATTTAACTATACTGGTGCCCAGGAGAGACACTAGGGCTAGCTATATAAAACTGGGAGTCATCTATGTAAAAGTAATAATTGAACCCATGAGTGCTGATGAGGTAACCAAATAAACAGAACATGAGGTTCTAGTGTATTTCTATCACCATTAGTCACTAATTCTTAGACTTTACCAACCAATAGGTGAGAGAAAACCTGAGCAAAGGATTCCTGAACCAACAACTAACTAAAGTAGTTTTCCTCCTTTCTTTAATGTGTTTTTCTTTTAAAATGCAACTAATCTATCTTGCCCAGTTACTAATCTAACTTATCCTCACCACTATGACACAAAGTAGCAAGCAACTCATTTTTCGAGAGTACTGAAGCACACAGCTTAAATGGTCTGCTTAGTAATTTAAGCATAAAGGTGAAAGTGGATGCAGAAAGGAAATCTGGTGCCCTAATCCCCAATCCAGCTGTTCATACATTAGATACACCTGTTTTCTGAAAGATCCCTATTCTCAAGGATCCAGATACATAACTCCCAAATATATATACACTTAACAGCACCCAATTAAAGTCCTATCTTATAACTGCTTGGGCTCTAGCTGACAAAAGCAATCACTTCAGAACAAAAACTGCCACTATTCCTGGTGGTAGTATTTTAACAAGTGACTGGAAAGATGCCAGCTTCATTCTACATCAGTACCATGCAAATAGTCAAATGTTTTCAAACTGACAGAAATGCAAATTCAATGTGGCATTGGGAAAATTAAAGTTGTACTCTCTGTGCCTTGTGGCTTAGCCACTAAAGGTTTTTAAGTTAACTTTAACCAGCAGTTTTGTTGATGAGGCACATTTTAACAGGTGACTTTCTGTTTAACCACAGGTTGGTTTTCCTACAACTGAAGTTTCATAGACATAGAGATTAGAAAACATTTATTAGGTACCACTAAAATTGGGTAATATCAGTAATATCTGGGCTAGATCTATACTATATCACACAATAAAATGACAGATAATTTAGTATTTTCCAGGAGAGTTACAAAATCAATTCCCTATTCATAGTAAACTCCAAAGGTTGATTTACAAATATAAATATTTCTTTTCACATGTCTCAGGTAGTTGTTATAGTCCAACAGGGAACAGACTAATTTTCTCAAGTTCCCCTTTAACCTTATTAAAATGTTACTTTCAATTCATTCCTCTTTACCCTCCCCTACTGGTGGAAATAAGATCATGAGATAGAAGATAAAGAAAAGAGAGGGATGGATAGATTCCTTTTGCACCAAATTCTACAGAAGCTACAATAAGCATTTTACCAACTCATTTTCCAAAGATTCTTTTCTCCTGTTCTGTTTGGGATTATGATTTTGTTAACTTACACAATTTCTGTTTTCTGTGTCACAGTGATAACACTACTATATCTCTTTCTTTTAAATGTTATTATTTGACCAGCAACTATTGTAATAGCTATAACTCACAAAACTAAAAAGAAAGCAGAAAATAAACTGTCAGTAGAGCAATGTGTCTTACTGCAATTCAGGCTCCAAAGTGCAGTATGATCAAATGTGGTATTATGAAAAATGACTTCTTTTGCTTGAGGCTAGAACAAATTTAATAGCATGGTGCACAAGAAGCTCAAGAATAATGAGGGGCTGACTCAAGCCCAACACTGGCTTACTGAATACCAAATACCACTGGAAGATGTCCTTAAAATAGGCTCCCTCACGACCAGAAGGCATAACTTCTACATTCAGCATTTTTTCAACACTGTATTTAATAATAACACTCTGCTACTCACTGTATTTTCCCAATTTCAGATTCCCCAAATCAGCTCTAAAATCCTAAGCACTGCATTATAAAATAAATGTAAAAATCTACATACCACAAATTGCATATGAAAATATGTCTATCTTCCTCTGAGCTAGAAGGCCTCTTCCATGCTAAAAATCTCATTTTAGGAAATGGCTTCCCTTTCTCCTTGGCTTTATAACCAATTTTCTCTGCAAAGTAGTAGTTATAGTATACAATTTTAAAAGCTGCCTTGAAACTTGCATATTATCTTGAAAACTCTAGGTTTATTATGATAAAAGTAAAGCAATAATCTCAAGTGAAACTGATTACACAGAAACACAAATTAGTTAAAAAACCCTGGATCGTATATTTGCTTTGTAAAGCAAATAAGCACCACATAATGGTAACAGAAAAACATAAAATAGACAGAACTCTCTAACTCATATTTTATAGCTATCTGCTTCAGTAAGGAGAATGATCTTCAACCTGTAAAGGGTATAACACAAATACATAAAGATCATTAAAGCCTAAGGTTAGTGAGAAATAAAATTAATGAAGCATAAATGTTAATGAGGTCCTATTAGTTAATCTTGGTTCCATATATGGGGGGGCAGGGGTTGGCCAAAAAAAAAGCCTTTCCCTTCTTAGTTACTTTTTCTTTTCTTTCTTACTGACCCAGGTATGACTTTGCAACTTAATAATCAGCCAGCCCACTCTTATCTGTCTTGGACATTAAATTCTAGGTTTCTTTTCAACAGATTCATCTTAGCAAGGCTGTTGTTAGGTGTATCTCTCAACTTTATTAAATCTGCTTCCCAAACCCTTAGCTCCAGAAGGTCAGGGGTCCCTGGATAAGAAAAAAATTGTGAAAAACAATATTTGGAAGGGTTTGTAATTGTGGAGATGGCTAGAGATTTAACTTTTAGAGGGGAATGTGAGGAAGAGAAAAACTTCAGCAGAGGAAGAAAAAAAAATGACCCCAGGAGAAATAGAAGGATCCAGAGGGGAAAGAATAAAAATGAAGTCGGTAGGGCATGGGAAAGGAAGTTAGGTCTGGCTGTCAAGATGCTAATAAGGCAAGATGGTACTAATCAGGTGAAAGTTCTATTGAGAATTGGCCAGAGAAATCATTAGCAAGAACAACAAAAGACTGAGGACAGTACTTCCAGAAGCCATGAATAAGGAAATATTTGCAGTGACCTACATAGAACACAGCATGTTTGCCTTTCTGTCTTAACCAAATCAATGTTATTTACAACAAAATTATAGGCTAATCTCCCTCCTAGAAGAGAAGGTAAAGGGAGCTCAAAGAATGCCTCTCTACAATCCAAGTTATCAAAAACAAGGAAGTGTTCCTTTAAGAAACAAAAGAAAGGTAAGTAACAGTTAATTGGTTCTTGCAAAAAAAAAGAGTGAATAGGCCACTCTGAAAAGGAAGCAACTACTTACTGTCCAATAAAGACGTGGATGCCAAGGTGATATCAGGTCAACTAGAAAGAATCAAAAGAAAAAAAAATTTCTGAGTGATGGTATGGTTAATGTTAAAGGATACTGAGATAGCTATTAGTAAACTGATAATAAATAGAGGGTTCTGCCACCTTCTCAAGTTATGTCTCCAGGATATGATAACTAGAACCTCATAAGATTTTTCGAACCAGATAACTACTACCAACTTCTGGTGATTCACATGTATACAAATTATAAGAAGATCTCTAGAAAGCACTGAAAGCTTATGAAGGCTTGTGGAAAAAAAAAAACTGAAGACTTAAGAAGCACAGATGGCACTTTCATCACTGTTGCCAAGAGAAGGCAAGAGAGAATTGAAAAGTGAATGGCCAGCTGCTGAAGAAACTGGTAAATGAAAATAAAATTGGCTTTCTGGATTAAAGCTTAAAATAAAGTAATGATAAGTTCCTGTCCAGCACCCAGAAAGAAATGGTAAGAATACATCTGCCCAGTCTTGCAAATCTAATCAAAAGGGCTTTAAGTTGAAAAGGAAGAGAAGGAATGAAAACTGCCAACACATGTATCCATCAGACCAGATAACACAGAGATACAGTGCTTTTAGATAAGGATATCAGTGCACACATAATCTCTCAATCTTGATCTCTCTCTCACTCTCTCTCTCTTTCTCTCTCATCTATAGAAGACAAAATCCAAAATAGGAGACAGCAATAAAACCCATGCCCTCTGAAATCTATACAAAAATGCCCAAAGTACAGGAATGACTGATTTGATCAGATGGAATAAGGATCAAAACTGGAATACGACCCTTCAGAAGATATGTTATTCAAGAGAAACAAAACAGATAAAAGGGATGATGAAGTATGTTAAATATTGGATGAAACAAAAATAATGCTGTCATTGAAGCGGTCAACAAACCACACTGAACCTGGCACCTTGGGTCTATGATGTACCTTGTACCAGATTTTCACCAACCAAATGATAAAGGTGATGGCCATTTCATCTTAGAAATTGTAATACAGCTAAGATAGCTAGGCATATTATCTGACATGCCTAGATTTCAGTAGATTTCAAAGGGCTTTCAGTTTTAAAATTAAGACTTTTGTTTTTAAATGTGCTATCTTATATTTATAAATGCATTTATAAATTTTTAAACTTTATAAATTTTTAAATTATAAAATTTATAAACTTTGTTCAGAACCAAAGAACTATTTTTAAAATATGATAGCAGATGACATATACTGCACCAAGATCACTAGCAGTAAAACAAACATCACATAATGCTATCTATATTTGAAATTTTTTTTCTGTTGGGCTTTAACACTTTAATTACGTTTGCAGATGTTTCATCAAAGTCTTGATTATCAACACTTTTGCTTTCTTGTCTCTTCAGACACCTTAATATTACTCAATTATCATAATGGATGTTAGCATTAAAAATGAATAAATAAACCCTTGTACAGTCATGAATTATTTTACAAAAACCTGCCAAGGCAGACTGACAAGCAACTAATTTATTAGTTTTGACCAATTTCTGGCAGTTCTTTGCACTGGCTGAAAATATACATGAAGACAGACAGTTTTGCTGTGTTTGCTTATTCTATCATAAATCTTTTTTTTTTTTTTAGAGGGGATGGGGGAGTGGAGCATGAAACTCCAGGGTTTTACAAAACTTAAGTTTAACCACCACTGGCCTACTGATTATGGCTGATACAGTCTTCTTCTGGTTGTCACTGAAGTTAATCTGCTTTAGACTAGTTAGGCCATACCTGCTGATTTATTAGATTCAGACTGGAATCTAAATCACATCTGATATCCTTCTTCAATGGGTATTAATGTAAGAAGGGTCTAATACAGGAGTATTTAACCAGGATCCCCACACCGGGATCCCCACAGGATCTAAGGATAGATTTCTAAGGTCTAAGGTTGTCTGTAAACTTGGATAGCCAAAAAAAAAAAATTCCATCTTTATTTTCATTAACCTCTAACTGAAATTTACCATTTCCTCCAAATGTTTTTAAAATGTTACAATAGGGACAGCTATGTGGCACAGTGGATGGAGCTCCGACCTTGCAGTCAGGAGGAGATGAGTTCAAATATGACCTCACACACATAACACTTACTAACTGTGTGACCCTGAGCAAGTCCCTTAACCCCAATTGCCTTGCAAAAAAATAAATAAATAAATAAAAATAAAATAAAATGTTACAATAAGGGGTCCATAGGCTTCTCCAAACTGCCAAAGGAATACAGGACACAAAAAAATGGTTAAGAACCAAAAATCTACTGTATCAGGGCTGAATCAGAAAGAACAGAGGTAAGGCTTCAGAAAATGAGTGCAAGGAGAATCAGAAAATACTAAAACTAAGGAAGGCCTTCAGAAATCAAGGAGTTTAATTCTCTGATTTCACAAAGGGGAAACTGAGGCATGAACGGGTATGAATCCTTTCGTTTGTACAAGACTTGTCCAAGACCACATGGCTAGTTAGTGAGACCAAGAAGCCAGATGGTCTGACTTTCAGGTTTCTGTCCACTATACCACACTACCTCTTAGAGAATATAAATTTATATATCTTATATTAATCTAGATTATTATATATCAGGATTCCTTAAGAGAAAAGTGCATATACTATTAAATACCTACTTTCCTTGAATGAGCATCAGTTTTACACAATTGCACAGGAGAAAAGGAACTTCCAGCTCAAAAGAATAAAAAGGGACTAAGGGATCATTTAGTCTACCCATTATTCCTAGGCAAGATTGTGAGCAAACCAATCCTTAAACACTCTTCCCTTTCCTTACATATTTTTAGGAAAATATATCCCAATATACTTCTTCAAACTATATTCTAGTGTCTCAGAGATCTTAAATTAGGAAGGATTTTTTCCCCTTTATTGTAATTTAAAATCATCCTTGTCTTCTTCTCAGTGCAAATAAAAATAAGCTTTTTACATTCCCCAATACATTATCCCTTTTGCATAGTTGAATCCCCACTCAGCCCTTCCCTTCTTTACTCTGTATTCCTAAGAGGCCATATTCTAGATACTTAATCAATTCTTTATCCTCTTCTCTTGGACCTTCTCCAAGTTTCCCATGAAATGCTTCTGTATGAAACCCAAAAGTGAACACAGTATTCTAATAAAGCTCTGAACAAACCGAAGCACAGATTATCTTACAACTCCCAGATGTCCTAATACAATATTTATTTACCTTTTTTTAAGCTACACCACCTATTTCAGAAACGTCATGATTCTTTTGTCAATAATGCTGAGATTATTTACTTCCAACCTGAGAGACACAGCACATAACAACAGCATTGGATTTGGAATCTGGGTGTTCAATCTCACCTCAAACACTTAAAAATAGCTAATTATGGGACCTGAAACAAGTCACAGAATTTTTCTGACCTTGGCTTCCCAATACGTGAAATGGGAATAACAGCATCTTTCTCACAGGACTGTCATGAGAGTGAAGCATAATCATGCACGTAAAGTACAATATTAATAGGAACTATTATTAATCTCGTAAATGAAGTATTAGGTAATCTTAATTATCACCACTGAAGAACTACGGGAAACATGTTTCCTCCATAAATCTATCAGCTCTTATTTGCTTACACTCAACAACACATAAAACAGGGGCAGGGTTGCTACCCTTCTGTTCTTGGCAAGTGTCATAACCTCTGGTACTGCTCATATGAACCTGGTTGACTGTGTGGAACCACTGGACACTAGCACCCACTCTTCTGTCTGAAATTTATTTCCAATCAGTCCCCATATGAGCCCAACCTGCTTATTTGGAATCTGTTTCCACTACTGGTTTCTCCTACTATTGTTCTGCCCTTGGAAGAAGGTAAAGTGGGCACCACTCTGCTTTAACGGCCTCTTTCTCCTTCCTGCATGTTCCTTCCTAGCAGCACAGAACTCTTCAATACTGAATTCAGTCAGCCTTCCACTGAGGTTCACAATATTAACACGTCTCTCTCTCTCTCTCTCTACAACAGCTAATCTGGCCTGGGTTCTTTGTCTATATAGAATCCTGCAATTTATCCTCCTTATTAAGTCTAACTAGACTCCTGGTCCAGGGTCCTACTCTCAGCTTTGTAGATAACTCAGGGTTTTGTGCAAACAAAAGAGTGATCTTAAGCTATTTTTATTTTTTTCCTTGTCCTCTTCTTTATAAGTATCTTAATAATTACTGTATATTTTTTGCCAGCGTGCTGCTGTGGAATATGATGGGAAAACTTTTACTGGAAAATAAGACATCCATAATACAAAGACCCTTTTGGTATACTTCATTTTTAGGCTCAAAAGGCCAAGAACAAACTAGACAAAGAACAACGAGGACTGCCTATATAAGTAATTACTTTGGATCAAACCGAAATGTTAAAGGTGATCTAAGTGCTCATTTCTGGACAAGCTGAAGATTAAAAGCTGTATGCAGCTTGTAGCATTTTGAGTTGGAAAATAAGAAAAGACTTCATTTTACACATGAGGAAAAATGAGACTCTTGGAGGTGACTTGCCCAAGGTCACAAAGGAAATAAGAGTATAGGAAATCTGAACCTAAGCCAAATGACTTCTAATCTACCTATACCCCAATTTTTTGATATTTGACAACAAGAGAAAAATTGGTCTGACAGAGAAAATTCAGGCAAAGTATAACTACAAGTAACCAAAGGAATCACAAGGTTTTTTTATTAATTTCCTTCCCTGCATACACCTCTCTCTCACTTGCACATCTCACCACCATCTTCCATTGTGAATAAAGCACATTAAAAGAACCAGTGAGAGCAAGTTAGTTCTGAGATATAGAGCAAAGTTAGTATGAACTTAAGGAGTACCATATGACCTAAAAATCAGAATCTTACCCATACCCCAACCCTACCCAAGGCCTAAAACATCCGAAGCTGAGCAAACCAAACTATCCAAAAAAGAGCACATGACAGTTTGCAAATGGAATTAATGTATTTTATTCCATGTAATCCTATAAATTACTCTATTTGATCAGAATCAGTAGTTCATGAA